CCTCTTCTAGACATCTGACATCCAACACAAATATTTAAAATTTAGAGATTTCTAAGTTATAGACACTTATAGAGATATATAATACATTCTAAAAAATTTCTGGATGAGTTCCAACATTAGCAGCTCAGTAAAACAGTCATATCTCGAGTTTCATATATCCAAAAGAGACGTTCTTTACATGGTTGGAAAAATTAAGAAATTATCTACAACTTTTATTCAGATCACATGCTCACATTCTGTCGTTAGCTTAATAAAAAATAGGACACAACCGAAACTATTCCAGATTCTAGACTGCGTAGAAACTTCAACTTGAAACAGCTATATCTCTCAAACCAGATCAGATATAGGGGGTGATTCAAGGGGCATTAGAAATATACTTAAGTCTAGTTATTCCCATAAAAATTTCATAATTTTTGGTCTAGTAAATTTAGATGGGCATTGAGATAAGGGCATACTGCTCCAAAAAACAAATCCGAGAGAACAAGATGTACCAAACCCAACTATTTATTTATTGACTCAAACTTTAATATTCTTAACTATAGAACTTGCGGACATGCCCACAAAGTTCCAGCACTCATTACAAAAATCCAACTCACATATAAACATAATAATAACTCAACTAGTCACACCAAAGTTCACACCACACTACTTGTCGGGTTCATAAACCCGAGGTCCCTCATGGACCTACTTCCCAGCAGAAGCTCAGCCCAGCAGACGGCATTGCAAATGACGCGCAACTCCTGGGCTGTCCCAAAAACTTAACGACAGGCCAGAAGGGTGATCTAGTCTCCAACCAGAAGGCCTGGTCAAGGAGGAATGACGCTCGCTTCCGACTCCGGCCTGCCTCTCCGACCGGATGGCCTGGCCAAAGAGGAACGACACTTGCTTCTGACTCCAGCCCGCCTCTCCAGCTGAAAGGTCTGGCCAAGGAGGAACAGCGCTCGCCTTTGACTCCGGCCTGCCTCTCTGACCGGAAGGTCTAGCCAAGAAGGAACAACGCTCGCCTCTAACTCCGGCCCGCCTCTCCGATCGGAAGGCCTAGCCGAGGAGGAACGACGCTCGCCTCCGACTCTGGCCCACCTCTCCGACTGGAAGGCCTGGCCGAGGAGGAACGATGCTCGCTTCCGACTCTGACCCGCGTCTCCGACCATGGATGCACCGGGCCTCTGCTTACAGCTCTTCTCCGACTTGCGCAGTTGGAGCCGACTGGGACCAACCGACCGGGGATGCCCACTCGGTAAGGACCTAGGAAACGGGCATAGTAAGTAAGGCAGGGTGCTCAAGTCAACCGCAATACCAAGGACCGTACCCTGTACAACACCAGAGGACTGTACCGACATGGCATGTCAGAAGGGTGCCCTACAACCTTCCAGGCATGTCAGAACCCAAGCACTGTTGTGGGTGCCGACGTTTTGCCCTACAGTGTTGTGGGCGCCATCAATTCCCATACCAGGCGAACACGATAACCCCCCCACATGCCTCTAGGCATCAACAGTGTTGTGGGTGCCGTCATTTGCCATACATGGTGAACACGGTAAAACCTCCCACATGCGTCTGACATAAACAGTGTTATGGGTGCCTACAATCATCTTGTACCCGATGGCGTGGGCAACAAGACTTAGTAGCATATGTACTCTCTCTCTTTTCACTTATAAGGCCATCCCCTTCATCTATAAAAGGGGATGCGCTCTCCCAATACGGGAACTCGAACACACACAGACGACTCTCGGACAATGATTCGGACCACGAGGATCGATTCACAAAGTCAAACAACCTATGATTCGAACGATTCCAACAGAGCGCACGATCAAATACTCAGCGCACGTAGGAGCTCTCGTTTCTCTCGGCCCTTCGGCTCAGAGTCCGACCGGACCTCTTGCACCCCCATCTTACTCCCTCTCGTTTGTAACCTAACAGCAAACGTCGAGCACCTGGGCTCAGGAATAAAGTCATCAACCGACTCAAACTAGACGTAGGGCACGTTGCCTGAACCAGTATAAACCCTGTGTCATTGAGTGCTAGGCCACATTCGATCACAACGTACGACGAAACTACAAATATTTACGTGTTGGTCACTTTCTACACCGACACTACTAGACTCGACTTGACTCAACTTGACCCATGCTACTAACGTCTTATTACGTAGAAGGGAGTTCCAACACCTATGGGCGAGGTTTATGGGAAAGCTTCTCATAAATCCTTGGTAGGTTGAGGCTCACCCTTTGGTCATCTATCACCTGTTGGTATCTCTTAAGAATCTCTTGCTGTGCCTTTAACTGATCTTCCAGTCACCGAATCTTCCCTACTAACTCATAGCCAAAGTGTACCATCACTTGAGTAGTTGGATCCGTGCCCTGAGGGTACATCATTGCCCACTCCAATTTAGGGTGTTGGCGAGGGAGGAATCGATATTGGTCCTCCATATCCTCAAAACGGCCGCCACGGAGACCCATGCGGCTTGAGCGGCTGCATCTTCTATGCCATCTTCCATGGTGGTACGATGAGCACGATGTGAATAGCTCGCGTCCAACTGGTATCCTTCCTTCTCTTCATCCCCGATGGAGATGCACGCCCTAGTCTTCTAATAAGTGTCCTCCAGAGGGTGTGTTTGTTCTTCGCAGACATACTCCACAACTGCGTCCCCATCAGCGTAGTAGGTCTGAAGAATCTCCATAAGTTGGTGGTCCGAAATGGAGGATTCACACCCTGGCTTGTACCAGATCTTTGTAGTCCATCCTATGGCAGGGGTAGGCTGATCTTCTTGAACGGTGTCCTCCTCCTCATCATCATCACACACTACAACGACCTCCACTTCTTTGGGTTCTTCTTCTTCGGGCTCTTCCTGGAGTGGCTCAGGTGTAGGTGCAGGTGCTAGTGAGTCAACTTCCTGCTCCTGAGGTTCCTCCTCACGTGGCTCCATGGGCTCATACAATCCATGAAGCGGGTAGTAGCCTCCGGTGCTGATGCGAGCGGTCTTATTGGCACGAGGCATCTATAGAATTAGATTTAGTTAGATTAGAAGCAATAATTTTTATAACAGAGTGAGGCGAAAGAAGCATAAGATTTAGCAAATAACAAGAGTGAGATGGGAAGCATGAAATGAGTGAAGCGATAGAGGCTAGAACGACCATTGCTAACTAGGCTTGTGTCCTACCATCAACACGGCTCTAATACCAATTGTCACACCCGATTTTAAGAATAAAATGAGTTGCATAATCTTATGTGCGCACAGAGATCAGTCACACATATAAACCGACAAATTATAGATAGTACCATCACAAGTGTTTATTACATCACGTATAATAAGACAGAGTCTTCACATAAATATAGCGGAAGTATAAACAAAAATCTCTCGTGGAAGCTCCATATCATAGGGACATCAACTGGTTGACCACAAGTCTAGTAATCCTCAGGAAAGTCGTCATTACCACAGCCATCTGTTACCCATACGGGATTTTTATCTAAATAATGAAAATAAACAAGTGTAAGTACGTGTCGTACTCAATAAGTGTAACATGGGGTTATTGAGGCTCAAAAGGCTTGACACAGGTTTAACAACATTTAGCTTTTAGTTGTCATAATTTTAACATAAGAGTAGCAACAAGTTGTTTTAATCCCAAAGTAAAACACATGATCAATATAAACATGAATAATGAATAACATAACATAAACGGATAATTCTTAGTGATCATCTATTACATAAGGGTCCAAGGCCGCTTCTGACCGTGAGCACGGCTGATATACCAATTTTATACTCTGTATAGGTTGTACACTTTCACTATGAGTCATGATACCCATATGCCCGGGTTAATTACTCTCAAACCACTTCCAAGGTGAGCAGACAGGGTTCACTATGAAGCCTTTCAAAGGTTCGTCTAACAAGTTAGGGCTATTAGATTCACTCGGCAAACAGATGTAGAGCCTCCCTTTTCGATGGCACAATGACGCGCAGCCTATAGACATGGGGACAGAGGCCGCACTATACTCGATTCGGCAAGCCATTCTTACGTCATAAAGATAACCTCTAACAAGCTAGAAAAGATCCTCATACTGAGCTAAAGCCATAGCCATGTAGCCCTCACAGCTGTACCGTAAATCCCGAAAATTCGCTTACAGATAAGTCCTTAGGGAGAGGAATCTAAAGCATTTAGAAAGTAACTAAACACTCCAGCCCCCTATTTCCAAGTTGCTAAAAAGTCATGTTTTAATGTTTGTTGCATATACTATTAGTCAAGTTACAGGATCATGGTTTAGTTGAGCACTAACAAAGCTACCCAATGCATATCCCATAGGAGACAAGGTATAAGTTTAATTCTAGGGAATCTCTGTCAAAGTGACACATGCAATATGAATTAAATGTATTAAAGTTGATAGAAAACAAGGATGATCCCATGCTATACTTGCCTTAAACAAAGTGTTCCTACTAATCCTGCTCGTTAAAGTAGTACTCTTGATCACCCACGAATTGCTCACCGTCTATACTCGATAATCACAGCAACATACGAGCATCCAGAAGTAATCATGCATAGCCAACAAAGACTATAGATTAGAACAGTACACTAATCCAGAAATAGTACTCCACTAACCACTGGCTTTTCCCATTCCTTAATTGCCCACTTCACCTGCACACATTTTATTCGGCCGGTTTTTATATTTAATCACTGCCACTTGCTTTTCCCGGGCAGGGCAATGCATTGCAACGTCGTAACAGACGTCGCTCCGGGCAGCGTCCTTCCTTGTTTGTTGAGCTGTCACGGTCCAACAACTAGCTAGGCAGACACTACTAAAACCGCGCGCCCTCTTCTCACTCGTCGTCGTCCTCCACCGCTCTCTACTCTCTCGTCTCATCTCATCGCAGCTAGCGGCCGGCAGCACCTGGCTAGCTCGCCTCGCACAAGTAGCCAAGCCAAGCACGTGCGCGCACGCCGATCATCGCCCAGGTCGATCGCCATTACCATCGATAGCTTTGGTTGGGGGGGTTGTTGCATCGATCACTAGTAATGCCGGAGGGAGAGGTGTCCAGCCCGGCGTCGTCCGGGGGCACGTCGTCCTCGCCGCCGCCATCGCCCGGCGGCGCGAGGCGCCGCGGCGGCAGCGGTGGCGGGGGAGCGCATCATCAGAAGCGGGCGCGGGAGCGGGACACGGACGGCGGGAGGCCGCACCCGTCGTACCGCGGCGTCCGGATGCGGGCGTGGGGAAGTGGGTGTCGGAGATCCGCGAGCCGCGCAAGAAGTCGCGCATCTGGCTGGGCACGTTCCCGACCCCGGAGATGGATGGGCGCGCGCGCACGACGCCGCCGCGCTCGTCGTCAGGGCCCCTCCGCCGTGCTCAACTTCCCGGACATGGCCGCCGCGCTCCCGCGGCCGGCCTCCACTTCCCGCGCGACGTCCAGGCCGCCGCGGCGGCGCTCCGCGGCCATGGAACCAGCTGCCCTGCTGCCGCCGGATGCGCCCGCGGAAGCCGCCAGTGCCGCATTGCAGGTGCAGCCCGCTCCGCCAGCAGCCGCCGGGCCGCAGCAGCAGCAGGACGAGGCGGAGCTGGAGGCGATCGTGGAGCTCCCGCGGCTGGACGAGGACTATGTCGTGACCACGTTCGGCTCCATGCCCTGCTTGTCGTCGTTCGTCCACGACGTGGCGACGCCGTGGTGCGACGACACGGTGTGGGTCGACGACGACGCTGGCGGCTACGTGGCGGCGCAGCACGACGACCTGTTCGGGCTGGACGGCGATCACGGATGGGCGCAGTCGGTTGGTGCCCTCCTGTGGAACTTGTGATGGATTGCCGCTGGATCGGTCTGCGTGCTAATCAAACTACTACTACTCTGTGTAATTAACGTACTCCTGTTAAATGTTAATCTCCTCTCCTCTCCTTTTATCGTCTCTGCAGAATCTGGAGGTGGATAGTTGCAACTTGGTAGTGTTTATTACTATAGCTCAACAAAACTGAAAGAAAAAGGTTGCAACTTGTTGCCGCTGCGGTACGGTTGTGTGCGTCGTCTTTCTTTCCGGCGCGTTGCCTTTTTGGTCGGTTTGGGACGCTTGTCTTGTGAATTTGTCGCTATTTCTCCTTCTTTTTTTTTTCTTTCTATTTTTCAAAGGGCCCTGCTAGCTATTATTGGCCTGCCTGATCAATAAATAAAAATGTACTATAAAGTAGATGCATGCATGCAATGCATCATGGACTCATCGTTGGTTTAATTTCTTGGTTTGCTTGGCAATTTAACCAGCACCTTCGAGTACTTTAGCTACCTTGTGTTGGGAAATGAAGCTGCTAGAGGGTAGAAATGGCGGCTTTTACTTCCCATTGGCCCTTTGCCACTCGTGTGTAATTCAGGTCTTGTAATTAAAGGAAAACATTATTGCTACCGTACCAGTGTAAGTAATAGTAGCCCGTACCATGCAGCTAGCGAGCTTCAAAGTGGAAATGTACGAGGTACGGTGGAGTTAGTAGTACTTGTGGTACTACGGCTGCCTTTTCTTTTCTGACCCCAAAGTTAATTACGCCTAACCACTCAGTTTTGCTGCACTGTACGTTTGAGCAAGTACCCTTGTGTTTACTGATCAAGAAGGCCGAGCAGAGCAGAGCAGCGCCGGTCCTAGGGCTTGAAGGGCCCTCTGACGAGATCGCGACGGTCTCTCCTGATCATGTATAAAATATTATAATATATAGACACTAAAGTTACTTGTAAAACGAAGGCAAATTCAATAACATATTTTTAATTTAACATGTCTGATAATTATCGAGAAACAATATAGATTAAGCAATATATTTGTAGATGTATGATAATTATCGAAGAACAATGTAGATTAAAAAAACAATATATTCGTTTTCTTTTCTCACCCATGACAAATATTTCTTAGGTAACATTCTAAAATTTTAACACCCAAATTAGAAGAAAAATATGACTATACGGGTACAAAGTACTAGAAGTCTGGAATACTATATAAATAATTAATTTGGATTAAAAATAAAAAGAAAAAAATACCTTGGGCCTAAACAATTGATCGATGATCGCAATTCGTAAGAAGCCAAGAATCAAGATGTCGTCGTCGTGGAGCCTGGCCTGGTTGCCGTCCTCGTGCGTTGTGTCCGTTTCTCCGGTAGTCTAGCTCTTCGCGGCGGCGCGGCTCGCCAGCTCCGCGTGTGTAAGGCGCACGTCGCGAACTCACGATTAGAGTGTGCTGTGTCCAGCGTGACTCCTCGCCTCCTCTCTATTCGAGGGCCGTGGGGAAAGGAAACTAGAAAAGAAATGCCGATATTATCTTTTTGAACCGCCTGACCAGTTCTATGTTTCTCTTTTAATTAGTTTGATAATGTATAATGGACTATAGGACCTGGAGATTTGTATACCTGGGCTTGGGGCCCCTCCTCCACTTGGGCCCTCGATCGTCGCACCTCGTGCCCTTCCCCTAGGGTCGGCACTGGAGCATAGCAAAGCAGGCACACAGTACAAAGAACCACCACAAGGTACACGTTTGGTATCTGTACATGCATGTTGAAAGGAGCTAGCTAGATAGCAGGTGGAAGCTACATACAGTGACCTGCACGCAAAATGGTCCAACTCCCTTGCATGCATGCATTCAGACTGCAAACACCAATATACTCTCTCCCTTCGTAAAAGAATATAAGTGTGGGATTCGTGCCAGCAAACTAGTTGAAGTTTGAGTGGGTTTAAGTAAATAGTATTAATGTTTATGTTTTCAAATGAATTTATTATGAAAATATGTCCTATAACGAATTCAATGATACTTATTTTATATCATGAATGTTAGTATTTTTTATATAAATTTAGTCAAAGTTCAAACCGTTTGACTTCTCGGAAAGCGGGAATTGCATTCTTCAGTGGACGTCGAGAGTATCTTCTTGTAAAATACTCGTGTATATATGGTGCAGCAGACGATGTTGGCATATGCTACTACATGCATGTCAAATTAAACAAGCATGCATGGACAAATCCATCGTTTGTTGTTTGCTCTCTACTCCGGCTCTGGGGCTTCCTCTTGACTGCAGCAGCCTCTCTTACTCTTGCATGCGCGCGGTAGCAGCGTGCGTGTCTCCCCCTGTTGCACGGATCATTTAACACCACACTTGTGGTTGGAGGGCTGCGAAGATCATCAGTGTGCGCAGCGCGTCTAGGCCGGAGACGGTCCAAGTCCAAGGTCCTCCTGATGCTCTGCTCCCTTTCCTCTCCGCATGCAGCCTTGTCTGTACTGTTGGCATCGCTATCCCTATCTGACAGTGTTTCCTTTCGCACGGACCGGTCCATATCTGTTTGTAGCTGCGTCAGGACCAGCCCACGAATACAAGACATCTCACGTCTCTGTACTTGCAAAAGCCGGCCAAGCTCCTCGACCGAGAGCGTGTGGGTAAGGCTTTTTTTTAATGTATGTGTAAAATTTTAGGGTGTCATGGCCCAAAGCTGTGAAAATGGTGCCAAGACAAGCATTTTCAGGTCTGGAGTCACAGGACTCGCCGAATCAGGGGCATGCATGCGTCGCGACATGCACGCGTGCCATGGATGCGGCCACCGTGCACACTGTTCCTAATAATTCCTGCCAGCTTTGCAGAGTTGCAGGGAACCGGCTCAGATTGACCGCAGTATTTCGCTATGTAGATTATAAGTTGAAACATTATTTTTCTCTCATACTAAATCAGTCCGTGGTAAATAATCCACAATTATTTACGACGAAACGAAAAGCTGAAAATACTGTCCTTTGGGAATACTGCACGTGCGTGTGTTGATCATGCTGTTGGTTTCGTCAATAATACTAGTTGTATTATTAGTCAAAGTTGTAGAAACCGATTTATACAATAATAGTCTTTTATTTATCTCTAAGAAAATTTTTATTGTTATTTTTATCTATGTCCCACCGTATATTTTCTATATTCTCCTCACATTCACTCATGCATGAGCCAACCAATGCCTATACTTCCGTGCCTAGCTTGTTGTTTGCATGAGAGCCGAGCTCTTTTCTCTTCTCTCTTCTATCCTCCATATCAGCATTTGCTTGCACTAGTGGAAACGTGAAATTCCATAACCGTTACGGATTTTTTTTGATGGTTATTGCATAAGCCGTCAGGGTAAATAGTATTATCTTACAGTTTTTTTTCAAAACACATAGGAAAATTGATATTATCGGTTTTTAGTGCACATAACGGTTTAGTATTTTTGACGGTTTTGCATAAACCGCCAGGGTAAATAGCATTATCTTGACGGTTTCTGAAAAACACACAGGGAAATACTGAAAACTCAAGAACATGAACAAAAGGTTTTCTCTTTTTAATCTGCAGTAAAATTTTATAACTAGTCCCTCATGCTAACTCCAAATGATATGTTTCTTTTTCCTATACCAATTAACAACATTTGTTTGGATACCAATTATTGTTTCTTGGTTCTTTTGCATATGTTTGTTTCCCATCATGTATACAGAGAAAGCGCCTTGTGAAACAACCTTTAAAAAATGTCTTTCATACTCCAAACTTTTTGTACATAAATAGGCTACAAACATACTATAAATGAATTTCTATTTTATATTTTTGGAAATTTCAAATTTTTTGGAACCAATTTTCTATTTTGTATAAGCTAAATGAATTTATGTGCACTTATCGAAAGTAATTGCAAATTGAACAGTGGGTACCTTCTATAAGATTCCAAGAACATTATAAAATTTGTATTTATGCTCATATGTTTCACTCTGCCATATCTAGAGATGATGAAAAAATCATTTGTTTGCTATGGATAATTCATCCATCTCCAAATTAACATAAAATAATTGTAATAATTTGAAACTTTGTTAGAAAATTCTACAAACTTGCATGACAATATGTTTTTGGTGAACAATGTTCCAATAAAATTTCAAATGTTTAAAAAAGAGGTGCCATACATTGCTCACAAATGTGAGAGATGTGTCCATTTGTGAATTGAACAACGTATAGTACCACTTTGTTAAAATGATTTAAAATTTTTATAGCAAGCTTATGACGTTAGTCTCAGCACAGTTAGTGCCCAAGAAATTCTTAGATCCACATGTTTGTTGCTGACTTTGTATCTTTATAACTCTTTGCTCTGCTATGTCAACTTTAGCATCTTCAACCTTCCTCACAGTGCTTGTTCAGAACCGACAGTAATACATTGAGCAGACCCGAAATTTTCAGATTTAATATTCCATCCATCGACAGGCTCATCTCTCTTATCCTCTCCTCCCTCACCAACATCTGGGCTATCTCATCTCATGATCTGTCTCTCCCTCTCTCTCCTAGATCTATTCCTACATAGCGGCATGCGGGGGAGGAGCTGTGGGTGAGCGACACATGTGTAAGTAGGTTGAGGGCTAGAGGGGCGGTGTGAATGGCCTATTTAAAAACTTCTAGAGATAATGAAATAAATAACATTAGGCAAAGGAGGGCCCTAGTAACAACTACAAAACCCTAGTCTAGCAAGCCTAAGCAAGAGAACTCCTATGCAATTCTAGTGGGCAAGAGGATAAACAACAAACTAGCAAACTAGAGAAGTACAAGTAGTGCACAACTACACTAGCAAATGAAAAACACAAGTAAAGAACAATTATAGATTACGCAAACCACAAGTAGAGGATTACACAAGATATATCCCTTAGGTTTTTGGTGACTTGCCGGTCACCTATGTCCTCGTTGAGGTGAGTCCAAGGATCCCTGGGTTTTCGCTAGCTCAACTACCCCTCAAAGCAGGCTCCCATGTGAATGCTAGGCCATGAGTCGACCGATCATGAGGTACTCCACAAGCCTCATATCCACT